GGTAAATTTTCTCTGCTTGCAGCCTCCACAAGGTGTCTCCTGGCCTCCATCACAGCTTCCTTTTGTTTGACGTTCATGAAGGACTCCCAGAGAGCTTGGGCAGCTGGATCACTATAAGAAAATGACAGGGTTACACTAAACATTGCTTGAATAATGGAGTAAGCCTAAGAGAACATTTATATTTTAAGATGAGTGCTTCTACTTTAGTAAATCCTCTGAGGTGAGCAGGATACGAGCAAAAAACAAAGTGATATAAAAGATTGATTTTTCTTAGCAGAACAGTTGCTACCATTTTACAGAAAAAAATCTAGAATTTTTTGCTACCAATTACAAAGCGTTAGAATTCACATATAATAAATAAGCATGTCGGCCTCAAAGTAACTACTAGTGTTCAAGCATGGGAATATCAGAAACAGTCCAAACTTCTTCAGTTACCAAAAAGCTATGGAAAGGACGGACTCTAACTTCCCCACGAGAGTGTAAGTCCCAAAGCCAATACTTCCAACGCTGAAGGCTGTTGGTATGATTTGATGAACTACCGTCACTTTGGGATTCATGGATTCTCCTTACATGAAAAGAATAATCTACAGTAGAATGTAACTGTCCTTATGGTTCCTGTGTTTACAGATTTCCTTTATAATTGTTGCTGTCACTAAACTTAAATTAGGAATTTGTGTGGCTCATCTGCACTCAGTTCCCTGTCAGTCTTCTCTCTCCTTTAGGATACTGCATTTGCTGCTGTTGTGAATGAATTCAGTGTTTTCTTGGTAGGGGTGGAGGAGAAGGGAAGAAACACCCTTGCCTGGGGCTAAAGCCACACACTAAGATTAAGTATGTTGGATTTTTTTTTTTCATTCATTTTCTTTATTAAAGAAAAAGCTTCCCTCTGTTTTTTCTTCAGGAGACATTTAACTCCTAAACACATTTTGATGTCATTTACAACAGGCTTATAAACATGCTAAAACAAGCTTTGTTTCACAGAAAATAAAAAACCCTAACAATCATTTGATACCTGTTACAGAGCAGCTGTGCTTACATTCTGCTGTAACAGTAGGGCTGTATTTCGCAAATCTGTGCTATTTGCCAAACCAGGTAAGAGGATTGCCAAGCCCCGCTCCTACCATCCCAGGAACCCACCAGGTTGAGCCACCCTTCTTCTGAACAAATCACAAATGAAAAGGAAGAGCAAATTTCATCCTATTGCCATGCTTGAAGAAAGGAAAAATCAGATGACCTGATACAGTCTTTCCATTTCTCTTTCACACAGAGAAATTCAACCTTCCTCCAGTGACAGAGGCAGGAGGCAGAGCATCCTGAAGCAGCCAGGGCATCTGCAGCAGCTCTCTCTACTCCATCGCCAAGTGTGACCTCAGCACTGATGCTGCACACTGATCCTGGGCAGCAGCTCCAAAGGGATTCCTCACAAATAAAAGCACACCAATTCAAAACATATGATAGTGCAAGAAATAAGAAAGAGATTTCCAAATAAACTAGATTCTTCAACACAATCACCCTTAAGTCATGGATCCTTGGATATGATATTTTTACAGACTATCTACTCAATTACTATGATTCAGTCCTACCCACCCAGCATCACTTTTACATGCAGCCCATTGATCCTGTTCACATCACATTCACAGGGTATGCCTCACCGTCATTTACAATCATGCCTGAGGTTTGGATTGCAAGAAGCCACAACTTTGCCTGTTAACTAACCCCTTCCTGAACATGCAGTTCCAAAGACAAACCTATGGAGATCAGGAATCAGGCCTAAACCAGCAGGCAGCCAGTTTTAAAAAACCTTTTTTCCTATTTGGAAGAAAAGTCAAGTGTCTTGTTTTCTACAATTTTAACCTGTTCTCATTTTCCTAATTCTCTCCATCACCATAAATATGAGCAGAGAGTTTCACATAAACACAGACACCAGGAGCTAAGATTTGAAAACAAAGTAAAACAAACACAAGGAAGTTAAAATAAAAGCCTCGCAGTTTTTGTACAGATTTTTGTAGTCTCGTCTTTCTCGCTCCTACATTTCATAAAGATATTTAGCAAACAGAAAAGTGTGGAAAATTAATCACAAAACCATCTACAGACCTCAGTAAAAGTCAGAGTGTAGGTGATAAGGTTGCACCATTTTTCTGCCTGTTGTCCTTGCTTGCTGCTCTCCCTTTCCACACCACGTTGATTAAGCCCATTAATTCTGTCCGCGAGGCCTTTGAAAGCAACATATACTATACTTGTATAGTCACTACGACAAGTCCCTGCTTCAGCTGGTACTTCTACTTGCTCCTGGTTTAAACAATAAAATCCCTCCAAAATAACAGACTAATTATTTCAAACGAAAAAAAAATAATTAAAAAGTAAGAATGAGTCACACTAATGCACTAAAACAAAATGGTGAGGAGGGTGTATGTGTTTGCTTTCTGCTTTGTAAACTGTTTCTTCCTCCTTTAGCCACAGTAGGTTTTCTTTAATCCCAAGGACCTAAGTTTGCATGATCCCTGAGGGTTGCTTTAGCACATCAAAAATAGCAAAAACCAAAACAACTGTGGTACAGCCTAAAAGCAGACAGGGGTCACCACACTTCTGTACGCTTGGATCTCTGTGTAATCCACAGAGTTTCCGTAGACATTTTTCTTCCCTCTACTTTGCAGAATACCTAATGGTTTGGGTGTCATACATAGAAAAATATATAAACAGGATGAGATCAATATATATTCATAGCTCACATACATAGCCAACTGACTAGGTCAATCCACAGAAAGCAACAGTTCCCATGTTCAGTCTTTTTTTTTTTTTTTTTTGAAATACAATAGGAAAAAGAGCAACAAAAGTACTTGCACACATTCTGCTGAAAACATTTTTCCTGTTCCCCCTCTATTACACCTTCAGAGAAGGGCTTTTGCTTTGAATAACTGCCCATCCTTTAACTTCATCAATGAAAAGACAGGAATGGCTGCTGGGAACCAGTCAGTAGGATGCAATACAGGGCTCTGGTGTTGCCTCTTGCCCAACCTGAGAACTTACCACAACATTTTCCTTTTAGAGATTTCTAACACTCAGAAACAATATTATCTTATCTTCCCCTTTGGGTGAGACATGTGTCTGCCACTGCCTTCCAGCTCTTGTCACAGTGCCCCTTCCCCTCCTCTTTTTCCCATCTGCAGTTCCTCTGCTTTAGTCCAAATGCCCCAATCTGATGACAGTGGCACTATAATCAGTGATTTGTATGGGATCCGGTACCCCAATTCAAGTTTCTCTTTCCTCTTGCATTCCTTGACTTCCCAAGGATTACGTATTGATTCTACATGTTATGCCGCGAACCGCTGCACTCTCAACGTAGTTTTCTGAAAATAAGTAATTTTTTTAAATATGTTTTATGCATTACAAAACCTTTAAAGATACTGTCTAAATCATGTTGTTTTGCTTAAGAAAAATAGAAATATTTCCAGTTACACTACAATACAGATCAGGAACTCTAAACCACCCTTCAAAATAAATGTCACAACAATAGGTAAATATTACAGTGCACGCTTCTGTGCATCTCTACTAAAAATGTTTTGCAGGGCATGGCAAGCAAGTCTAACAGAGAAGAGAGCACTAAAATACAGGGACTTCTGCCATTAACCAGTGTCACCAACACGCTTAGTGTTTTGCTCAAAGGTTTTGATACCCTGTCCCTTCCTTTTATCGTTATGGTCATAGTACCTAAGCAAACAGCCACCTCGGAAAACATAATATAACAAAAATAAGTATAGCAGTTAACTAGTAGAAAAATTAGAATTTTATTAAACAAAAACATTATGTTATGTCCAGATATAAGCTGAAGTCTTTTAAAAGCTCTGTTAGACATCGCTATACCATTCGATGTACATAAAGGTTTTTGACAGACATGTGATAATTGCAAATATCTCTCTTCTCCTCATGCATAAATGTTACATTTTTTTTAAATGCATTATTTCCTATTCCAAAACTAATTAAAATTTAACTGCATATAATTTGGACTTTAAAGCAACAACAAAAAAAGGTTTCAAAGGAAGAGGGAGAAAACTAAACACCTAAAAGATGAAGCTTCCCTACTTCCGGTATTTGCATGCCAGTTTTCAAAGCTGAACCATGAAGACAAAGAGGGGGAAAAGGACCAAATCAAACTCGTAATTTATAAGAATCCTAAACCAAGACATCAGCTGACAATAGTGCCAGGAAACAGGTGCTGGTGAGAAGCAGGTCAGAAAGACTGGGATGTTCTATGCTGACCAGAGAGAGCTGCAGGCAGTTCAAAGCAGCTCTGATTTGCAGCCTCCAGAGA